GTTCTCTAAATTCGGGTTTAGGGTTTAGGGTTTAGGGTTTAGGGTTTAGGGTTTAGGGTTTAGGGTTTAGGGCCTTCAAAAAAGACCCTCAATCCCTATATGAGTGGTTGTCAAAATTATGGTCCCTTCTGGGGTCCTTATTAAAATACGGCACCTATTATTTAGGGTACCCCAAAAGGGACCATAATTTTGACAACTACCCATATAGACCTATAACCCGCGCCCTAAGCCCTAAACCCTGAACTTAAACCCTAGACCCTCAACCCCTGTATGGGTCGTTCTCTAAGTTAGGGGCCCTTTTAGGGTCGTTTTTAGGGTTTAGGGTTTAGGGTTTAGGGTTTAGGGTTTAGGGTTCGTTTTTATATGGGTGCCGTACGATATTGGGGTCTTAAAGAGGGACCCTCATTTAGAGGACTACCCACATGCTGCAAGGGGGTCAGTTCACAAGGAACGTGGCGAGTCTAAGAAGGGCGCCTTCGTATTTTTTTGAGTGAAAAGTAAGAAACACCTGTTTGATGTGATGAACTTTAGGGTTGTGATTGCCAGAGGGGCTTGGATAGTTGGTAATACCACTGTTCTCGCGGGCTCTGCACTCTAGCGTCATTGATAGCAACGAGCTGTCTTGGGCCGTGTCCTGGTGAGTTTGTTGAAGCAAGTCCTGTCCCGCAGAAGAGATGGAAGATCCAGATGTTCGCAAGTGGCATCTCTGTGAAACCCTCCGTTTACCGCGAACGGTTTCATGTGGGTGCACTGGTGGTTGTAGCTGCCACTGCTTTCATGGTCCACTGCGCGCAGGGAAGAAGCCGTGGCGCTCCAGGTGCTCCGTCTTTCCAGTGGCGAATGTAATAGCTGTAGTCTCGTTAGCACGTGTGCATATACGTAGCATACTATATGAATATATGCATGTACTTGCCGCACATCGCGCCATGGCATGTATCATGGTACTGCGTATGTCCAACCCAGGCTGTAATGAACTTGATTTCTTGCTCAACACGTTAGTGGCATTTCCTGGGCTTGAGGGGACGAGCGGCGCACAAAGGGATCCATCGGGGTTTCTAAGGCTTTTCCCGGTTATAGGCCTGTTGTAGGGTTTAGATTCAAGCGGAAACTTGGGCTTCTCTAGCCGCCCCAAACCTGAACCCCCTGCTCGGAGCATCCCAAACCCCGAAAAAAATCGAGAGCCACAAGCAACCCCATGCTTCACCACACCAAGTCGAAAGCTGTAAAGCTTGCTCGTTCCATCGTCATCCGCATTCATCATCGTCATCAACAGTGACTCTATTATGATGATCAATGCTAAGCTGGTCTCAGTGCAAAAACCTGCGGGTTCAAGGCTTCTGAGTCCTCTCCGCCTTGGCTTTCACTCTGTTTTTCGCAACAACCGTGAAGCCCGGAATCCTAGACCCCCAAAACCAACCCTCAGCCCGGAAACCTACTTTAACCTACCGAAACCCACTTCGTGGCAGGGTTCAAGCAACATCGAGTCTACATTAGAGCTTATTTATAATGGCCGACAAACAGTAACTAGGTTTAATGGTAGTTTAAGCTGGATTCCAAACCATGAGCTGAACCTAAACCCTAGACCCTAAACCTCTAAACCCTAAACCATAAACCACTAAACCCTAAACCCTAAACCCTCATGCCGTGTCACTCGGTGCAGGCCACGATCTGCAAAAAGCTGGGCATTCAAAGCGGCAAGGCGACCTGGGAACCGCATTGGCCGTTCTTCAACTTCCGCGGCTTGGGATTGCGACGGTGTAGGGTTTAGGGTTTAGGGTTGGGATTGCGACAGAGGGCTTGGAACGTACGGTTTTGACTTTTCCTTGCTTTTGTAAAGCTTGTCAATCGTTTCCGGAAAAGGCTGTCTTCTCCCAAGAGCCCTCAACGCCTATTATAGCTATGATAAGGCTTATAGCCATTATAACTATGTAAACCCTAAACCCTAAACCTAAACCCTAAACCATTACCTATTCAAATCCTACAGCCGAGTTGTTTGCATCTCAGTGGTCGAGAGGTCCAGCTGCTCCCAAGCAACGCCAGCGAGCGGGTCGGAAGCTCACAAGAACTGGGCTACGAACCCTGAACCCTAAACTCAAAGCCCTAAACCCTAAACCTATAATGTAGCATATCTTATATTGTAACATACTATATCATGCTATAGAATATTATATTCTTTTATGTGATATTCTGTTCTAGCACAGTATAGCAGGGCATAGTCTAGTTTCGTATCGTACATTCGTGTTGGAAGGTTCATATAGTGTAGTCTGGTATGGCATAGTATAGTAGAGCACCATACTATACTACACTAAGCCATGTAAAGCTACTTTACAGATCGATTTATACGACGTTATAGTTTCTTGCATTATCTTCGAATGTACCTAAGCTCAGAATGTCGGGAGTGGGTTAAACCCTAAACCCTAAGCCCTAAGCTCTAAACCCAAAAACGAGGAGCTGAGGGCTCCAGTTTCATGGAATCTTTCAGAACCCTGAAACCGCGAGCTCCCTGGGAGTCCCCCTTATGCCCCTTATTGCAGGAGGGTTTAGGGTTCCTAAACTTTAAACCGTGGTCACCAGACGATTTTAGAGTGTTGTAGGTTTAGGGTTTGGGGTTTAGGTTATGTCAGTGCAACATCATTATGCGTGGTGTAGCATATCTGTGGTACAGTTGGCATGTCCTAGAAAGCACATGGGAGTAAGTCACAGTTTGCAGCCATGCGCGGCCTAACCCTGCCTAATGTCCTGTATTTGCAAACCAATCTAATTGCCGGAGTCCTGTAAGCGTAGCCTGCTACATAGCAACGAAGCATGTTGAAGCTGTGATATGTGAATGTGCCAGTTGACCTTCCTCTATGTTACATCGACTTATGTGAAAGAGGCGAGAGAGAGAGAGAGAGAGAGAGGCCGAGACAGAGACAGAGAGTTTGGCTGAGTTGAAGAAAACAGAGAGGGAGACAGAGGGAGAGAGGGAGAGAGGGACGGAGAGTGCGCAAGAGGGAGAAAGAAAGTTCATTTTCTATAGCACGGCATCGTGCAGCATCTTTGTTGACATAAACTGCTTCCAGCTTGCCTTGGGGCCGTAGCAGGTAGCCAGAATACGGCACTCGTATTCTAACGTAAGTTTGCGCAGCCAGTGCCCTGCAAACACGAAGCACATGGTCGAATATGCCGTGGCACAAAAGCAGGCGGATGTAGGCACACATGTGGTCTATGTACGTGTGTCATGTGTGCAGTCTCGTACGTACCGCTAAGTTCTTGATGCCATAGGGCTACAGATGGTGCTGTTTATAGCGTCGAACGTCGAAGATGAACATGCAAATCAGAAATCAGCAGTGCGTCTTTATTGCAATGATTCGATGGCTTACACAACGCCAGGATAGGGCACTTTGAGTATACTTACACACATACCCATACATGCTACCAGAAGCCAAGGTCGCAGGTAGAAAGCCATCAACCAAAGTCTAAACCCTTAGCTGCCCTTAGCCCTGAAGCACCATACTTCAAGCCTATAGACCCACATGAACTCGAGCTGGCATCCGGCTAGATTCCGCCTGTGAGCAGAGCAGCCTCAGGTGCGTCGCGTGGTGCGCCCTGCGGCCCCCGTGGAGCTGAGGGCGAGGCGCATCTTCGGGGCTTTGTGCGCTTTTTGGGGCTTTCGGCTTAGGCTTTAGGATTTAGGGTTTAGGGTCGGATTACTGCTACTGTGGAACTAGGTCACCTAGGTCCTTCAAACTGAATAGGGATGGTCTTTGGCGAGTATGTCGGAGGAAAGCCAACATGCAGTTCTTCAGGCTGCGGAGGAGGCCGCAAGACTATGCGCGGATGGGAAGCAGCACAGACATGAGATCGAACAAAAGATGGTAAGGTCGGAGAGGGAGCAGGCTGCGCATGCAATGGAAGGCGAGGTGGAGTAGCAAAAGGCGGAGGAAGTCTTTCGGAACTATGAAGCGGAGACGTACCGCCGATTGGTGGACTGGGAAGTCCAGAACGTTGAGCAGGAGGCACCACATCGACAGCGACTTCGGATTCTGCAGATTCATGCGGAGCATGCTGAACCCGGGAGAGAACTTCGAGCCGGGACCTATTTCCATAATGGTAGTATATATGATCCCGGTTC